GCCGCCATTGGTCTCTGAGGGCGGGGCGAAGTCTGAGACGCTCGGAGGCCCCGATCCCGGCCGGTTGCGGCTCCAGAAGCCTCGGACCCGCCCCTGCGCCGCGGGACGACTCCTCCGGCGCTTCCTCGGACCCGACCTGGCGCCCTGGAGCTCGGAGCTCAGACCGGGTGCACCGACCCTCCGGGGAGGCCAAAATGACCGCCACGAGGAGGACCCGGAAGTCCCGCCCTGACCCCGGGCGCCGCGCAGAAACGTCCTTTCCCTGGGCTTTCATTGGCTCAGCCGGCCGCCGTTGGGCGCACTGCCCTCTGGGTAATGTAGTCCCCTCCCCCCGCGAGGGCCNCGCGAGGGCCGCCGGCCTCCTAGGCGCCGACCTCTGAGAGCGGAGGTGCTGCGGCCGCCGGCTGAGCAGGTCGGTTTGTCCGGGCGGCTTCCCTTTTCCGCCCAGGTAGCGGGTTCTACGCCCCCACCCCCATGGNGCGAGGGCCGCCGGCGTCCTAGGCGCCGACCTCTGAGAGCGGAGGTGCTGCGGCCGCTGGCTGAGCAGGTCGGTTTGTCCGGGCGGCTTCCCTTTTCCGCCCAGGTAGCGGGTTCTACGCCCCCACCCCCATGGCTGAAGAGATAATTTTAGGTTTCGAGGGAGGTGGGCAGGGTTGTGGGGTGTTGTCTGCAGCTGATTAGTTTTTTGTTGACGTTTTGGGTGAGCTCAGAGGCGGGTCCCTTCAGTCATTGAGACAGGCCCGTGGGACAGGGAAACCGAGGCGGACTGTCAAACAGCCTCTGCAGACCCCTCCTCAGCCCTGTCTGCCCCAAGCCAAGGGCGCGTGGGAGTAAATGGTTTGTTAGGTGCGCCGGGTACAGAAGCTCAGCAGGGCAGGAGCCCGGGGCCCAGCAAGGGGCGACCCTGGGAAAGCCAGAGCCTCCTCCCCGGGTAACCTGTCCTCCCCCAGGTCCTGCGGTTTAGGCCCCTGAGGGTCTCCTCCCTGAAGATAACACCTAGGCCTCAGTTGTAGCTCAGCTCCAGGCCCAGCGAGGCCTGCAAGCTCACACCTGGAAAGCCGATGAATATTCTATGAGACCCTCCCCTAAGATTCCCGCCTTGCAGAGAGAATTAAAAGCCTCAGGACAAAGCACTTTGCGAGCTCTCCCTCTGGGGAGCACCACCCCCTCGGCCATTTTCTAACCCGTCTTCTTCCCGCAGCCGCACGCATCTCCTAAACTCTAAGTGATCCCGCAAGACCTACAGCCAGGGCAGCAACTGGCAGAGGCAGCTCCTCACAGGCTCGTCCTCTGAACCTGACCCCTGGCTTCCTTTGGACTTCCCCGAAAGCCAGGTGAGCCCAGCCTAGGCTCTTCTGTTGCTTCGTCTATGCTGAGCCCTTTCTTCTTTTACTGTCCCCAGCTTTAATAAATGTTCCCTCATAGTCATCTGTACCCGTGTTGTGAAAGTTTTCCTGCATAACGCCAAGAACCCATACACTACCGGCCGGCCCTTAGGCAGACCCATTCAGGGTCAGGTCCTCTTTCCAGTAACAGGAGTGGCTGCATTTTGTGTTTGAATGAGAATATATGTCCACTTGTAATATGTAGTCTTTTGGAAATGTTACCAGAAAGGGGACCTAGCCCTTGGTGGGTTCTTGACTTCGTGCAGGAAAAATTTCACAACATGAGTACAGATGACTATGAGGGAACATTTATTAAAGCTGGGGACAGTAAAACAAAGGCTGGGGAAATGAGTCTAGGCTGGTCTGCTTTGGCTACCTAAGAAGTCAGTTAAAAGGGGGACTTTGGGGCAAGTTCAAGGGGTTTGTCTAAGATGAACTGCTGCTACCCATTGCTGCACTGGTTGCAAGCCTCATGGGGCCCTTAGAGTTTAGTAGATGCACGCCTGTGAGGGAAGAAGGGGTGAGGGAGGTGAAGGTGTGTGCTGGGGAAGGAGAGCACACGCCAGATCCTTTGACATGAGGCTTTTATTTCTCTCTTGCAGGTGGGAATCTTAGCGGAGGTCTAGGGAGGGTTTCAACAGAATATTCATCAGTTTTCTAGGAGTGTTCCTTCAGGGTTGCAGTCTTCACTGATTGGTCAGTGTAAGGGCAGGGGGTCATTAGTCATTGCAACTGGTCCTGGTATTGCCCACCTGGTTTTGTTGCTTTTCTGGGTCTGGAGCTGAAATACAACTGAGGCCTAGATGTTATCCGAGGGAGGTGACCTTCTATATCTGCTGTAAATTGCTCTGTCAGTTTGTTCAGCTGTCTCAGTTTCCCTATTTCATTTGTCCTGGCTTACTGGCCTGTCTCACTATGACAGTGGCAGCCACGATCACAGTCTGAGCCTGTGTGCAGAGAGGGCATCTTCTCCCTGAGATAAACATTTGGTTATTGTTTGAGGATGATGTTAGCAATCCAAATAATTATTCTGAAAAACTGTTAGAGTGAAGGTATTTTCTGGATGAACTTTCAGAAGAGGCACATTCCTATGTACCAGAAAGTATAGTTACACGTCTGTATTATAGACATCTGGATTGTTCAAGGGCAACTCAGAGTTTTATTTTTTAATCCTTAACTGAGGATATTTTTTCCATTGCTTTTCAGAGTGGAAGGGTGAAAGAAACATCGATGTGAGAGAGACACATCAACTGGTTACCTCCCACACACACCCCAACCAGGGGTGGGGATAGAGCCTGGAACTGAGGTACATGCCCTTGGCCAGAATCAAACCCAGGGCCCTTCAGTCCATGGGCCAACGTTCTAACAATTGAGCAAAACCGGCTAAGGCAGGCAACTCAGAATTTTAAATTACAAGAGAAATATTGAACCAACTACATAAAACATTAACACCTCAATGAACAATTTTTCAGTGAGCACAGAGTTTTTAGTGAATAGAGTTAAAAGACACACCTAATAAAAGCTGCACAAATGTATTTTATATCCTGATTGCAATCTGCCTTAAATAACTAATTAATAAAATTCAACACAAACATACTTATCGCATTTAAAAAATATTTCTGTGTACTCAAGTTGTCAGTCCTTACATTCTAGAAAAGCATTAGAAAAGGTTACACATTGACGTATTTGTAATTTTAAGTAAAATAACCCACTAATGTCCCTGGGGATGGATGGATGGATGGATGGGTAGATACATAGATACATACATACAGATAGATAGATGATAGATATAGATAGATGATAGATACATAGATATAGATAGATGATAGATGATACAAGAAGTACCATGTGATAGATACATACATAGATAGATGATAGATAGATATAGATGATACAAGAAGTACCATGTGACAGATACATACATAGATAGATGATAGATATAGATAGATGATACAAGAAGTACCATGTGACAGATAATGACAGAAGGCTAGGATAGGATTCTTGAGGTTTTGTAAGTTTTTTCTGTTTATGGATATATTTGAAAATAGCCATTACAAAGGTAGAATATGTCCTTGTAATTTCATATGCTGAGAAGGAAGCACTGAAAAGGGAGGAGGAACTTAGTTTCAGGGATGAAAGCATGTATGGAAACATCCAAAAATATGTTTAAAAACATGTACGTTTTAAGTCAATTATACTTAAATCAAACTTTTAAAAAAATGACCCAGCCAGGTGTGGCTCAGGGGTTGAGCATTGACCTAGGATCCAGGAGATTGTGGTTCGATTCCCAGTCAGGGCACATGCCTGGATTGTGGGCTCGATCCCCAGTGGGGGGCATGCAGGAGGCAGCGGATCAATGACTTTCTCATCATTTATGTTTCTCTCTCTCCCTCTCCTGTCCTCTCTCTGAAATCAATAAAGACATATTTTAAAAAAACAACAACCCAACTTTAAAAAAATTTGTTTAAAACTTGCCACTACTCAGTCTTTTTACTGCTTTATCATAGATATTCTTGAGATTATTGTTGCTACTGTATGAGTAAGTAGGAAGTAAAATATAATGGTTTGCTACTTGAACATCTTACCATTTCCATGTTCGGTGACATCATTCTGGCGGTCTGAAACTGACAATAATGAGTGCATTTACACCAAGGCAATTGACAAAGATTACAAGGCTAGGCTTGACTTAAGGTATTATGGAATGTTTAGGTTTAAAGAAAGTGGTGGCATAAGTTCACAATGCAGATTAAATTTATAAGCATATGGTACAAGTTGGCTTTAAATTGTATATAGGATGACAAATTGAAAAAAAAAAAAATTTTCCTTCCAGTATTAAAAAAATGTGAGGGAAGTAACTCATGTCACTGAAGAATCAGTAAAATCCCAACACACNTTTTCCTTCCAGTATTAAAAAAATAATGTGAGGGAAGTAACTCATGTCACTGAAGAATCAGTAAAATCCCAACACACGTCCTTGTTGCAGCACTGTTTTCTTATTGGTTAAAATAACATATTTGTAAGAAGAAAACAGGCAAGATTCTGAGCAGACATTTTAACAAAGGAGATAAGTACAGCATAAATAAATATGTGGGGGGGGGAAATGCTCACCATCACGAATTCTTAAAAAAATGGAATTAAAACCAAAGAGTACCCCTACACTGATTTCCAGGGCTAATATTTACAAAGATTAATGATCACAAGTGCTGGCAATGTTGCAGAAGAACTGGAATTTTCATATAGTGTGGATGGGTGGTAAAGCAAAGGGAATCATAATTTTAGATCATAGTTCCACCTATCTTAAAATGTGAAACATTCACCTACACTGTAAGAGTTAAGAAATAAAACACACATCTATTTAAAAAACTGAATTCAACCTTTCATAGCAGGTTTATTGGTAATACCCCAAACCTGGAAATAACCCAAAGCATAAACAGATCATCAGATAAACAAAGTGGTAATCCACAGAACAGTATATGACTCAGCAATAAAAAGAATTAACTATGCACATAAGTATTACTGTTAAATGTCAAAGTAATTGCAAAACACNTAGATAAACAAAGTGGTAATCTACAGAACAGTATATGACTCAGCAATAAAAAGAATTAACTATGCACATAAGTATTACTGTTAAATGTCAAAGTAATTGCAAAACACGAAGAAAACCAGTACTTTTTTTTTTTTTTAATCTTCACCCGAGGACATGCTGAGAGAGAGANAGCATAAACAGATCATCAGATAAACAAAGTGGTAATCCACAGAACAGTATATGACTCAGCAATAAAAAGAACTATGCACATAAGTATTACTGTTAAATGTCAAAGTAATTGCAAAACACGAAGAAAACCAGTACTTTTTTTTTTTTAATCTTCACCCGAGGACATGCTGAGAGAGAGAGACAGAGAGAGAGAAACATCGATCGATTGCCCTCTGTACATGCCCCGACCAGGGATAGAACTTGCAACCCAGGTTTGTACCCTGACTGAGAATCAAACTGGCAACCTTTTGGTGCACAGGACGATGCCCAACCAACTTAAAATTGTAGAAAATATGAACTAATCTATTGTAAAGGAAGATAATTCAATGACTGCCTGGAAGGCTAGGGAAGGCAGGGAGACAGGTTATAAAAGGGCAGCAGTAAATACTGGGTGGGGCAAAAGTACATTTACAGTTGTTTGTATGGAAAATAATACAATAAAAAATACAAGAATAAACTGTTTCATGTTCTCACAAATATAAGCCTATTTTTACCCCACCTTGTATACAAGTGACAGGTTAGTTTATTTCTCATATATCAAAGCTCACCAAATACTACACATTAGATAAGTGCACTGTGCTGCATATCAATTATACAAATACCTGAATAAAGCTTTAAAAATCGGTTACAAATAAAGACCTAGATATCCCTCTTTTCTAAGAAAATTAGGTTGACAAGCCTATATGTACTCTACCATCTCTCTTTTTGTGTCCTGAAAGGCGCAGCCTTGCCTTAGTGGCAGCAAATATTGGCAAATATAGACTACTGCTATCTGAATCAACAGGAATATTGATTGCTTCACAAAAGACACATCCTGGGGACAACTACAGATCATCCCTCTTTCTGGCTTTGTTTTCTTGCCTGTTGAGCAATAACTTTGAGGCCAACAACCTGGAGATGCCAGGGGAATTCATAAAACCGTTAGATTATTTTCTCAACCAATAACATCATCTACAGAAAATAGTTGTGAAGGTCCTGAGATTGTCTGTAACCACAAGTCACACAAGCCATGGTGTCTTTCAGAAGACGGACGATCCATCTAATTTACTGAAGTTTTTTCCACTCACTATTAATACAGTGTTTCTGTCCTAATTGTGGTTCTACCTAATCCTGAGTCTTCCAACAAAAAAATACTAGCCTATGAAATTTTGTATAACATGTCACATGGCTCCTTTGCAGTACCTGGGAAGTAGGTTCCCTCAATGTTGCTGGGCATTATGTAATATGTACTGTGAACAAGGCAACAAAATGCATATGGTTTACAGACGAACAAAGACCTCCTCTCCAGGGTGACCTATGAGCTCCCCAATAATCATGCCATGAGACTGCAAATTAGGAGCAGAGAGTCCTGCAGTCTTACATTGAAGGTTTTGGGCAGCAATGTAAAATAAGGCAATATTAAACGAAGAGCAATCTTTTGCCATCCTACCATCTCTTGTGGAGCACAGGAAATTGGGCACCCAACAAAATCTGTTCAGCTCTACATGCTGACAGATCACAATTCTGCTTTCAAGTCACCCCACACAATGAACAGAAGCAACAAAATTAAAGGAAAAAAAGGAAAAAAAGACCTTCACAAAAACATAAATCAGAATGGTGTACAGTACAGTTTCAAGGTTGGTGAATGAGAAGTTGCAAAAATTCATTATAGCATAATGTGAGGACCACAATGTCCCTGAAAGAGGTAGCACTCTTAGCTGAGGATGGGTCCTCTTGACCAACAATGGGTCAGATGTATGCCCAGGTTAGAGACAAAAGAATGAGGATCCTGCCAAGAGCTTGGGGTGTTCATAATTTCCTCAAGCAAAAGGTAAAAGACAGGTCAGCTTCCCTGAGCACTCAGGGGTTATAACTTATGCACACTGTGTAGGTCAGCCAGGTGGTAGATGTAAAATGGCCTCAGTCACAAAATGTGACATCAATCCAGTAATATCTCTGAGAAGGTTAGAAAGTGCTATGTAGCTCATTAAAGCGTCACTTGTACCTAAAACTTATCAGGAATATAGCATAGTGTATGTTTCACTAAAAAGATTTAAAATAAATAGTTCTCAGAGTTTCCTTCAGTGTTCTTGTACTGAGTGAAAAAGTAAAACATTTCCAGCACATTTAAGGCTTTTCTGCAGTGTGAACAATCTAGTGTCTAAAGAGGTTAGTTAGACTGAGGCTAAAAGATTCCCCACATTCACTACACTTGTAAGGTCTTTCTCCAGTGTCAACTATATGCTGTTGAATGAGGCTAGAGGAATGGCCAAAGGATTTCCCACATTCACCACACTCATACTTTTATCTAGAATGAACTCTAGAGTGTTGAATAAGGTTGGAACGTTGCCTGAAGGATTTCCCACAATCACTGCACTGATAAGGCATTTCTCCAGTGTGAACTCTATGGTGTCGGAAAAGGGTAGAACTCTGTGTAAAAAACTTCCCACACTCACTACACTCATACGGCTTTTCTCCAGTGTGACATCTCTGGTGTTCAATGAGGACAGAGTTTGTGATGAAGGACTTCCCACAATCACTACACTCATAAGGCTTTTCTCCAGTGTGAACTCTCTCATGTTTAAGGAGGTGATCTTTGCGTCTAAAAGATTTCCCACAGTTACTGCACTCATAAGGCCTTTCACCAGTATGACCTCTGTGGTGTTTAATGAGCTGAGATCTTTGTGTAAAGGACTTCCCGCAATAACTACACTCATACGGCTTTTCTCCAGTGTGAATTCTCTGGTGTCGAATGAGTCTATATTTATAGCTGAAGCATTTACCACAATCACTACATTTATATGGTTTTTCTCCAGTATGAACTCTCTGGTGACGAATGAGGCCAGAAGTACTGCTATAGGATTTCCCACATTTGCCACATTCATAAGGATTTTTTCCAGAATGAACTCGACGGTGTTGACTAAGATTGCTGCATTGTCTAAAGCATTTCCCACAAACACTGCACTCATATGGCTTTTCACCAGTGTGACATCTCTGGTGTTCAGTGAGGCTAGAATTTTGGCTGAAGGACTTCCCACAATCACGACACTCATATGGCTTTTCTCCAGTGTGAACTCTCCTATGCTGAAGGAGGTTATAGTTCTGTCCAAAGGTTTTCCCACATTCGTTGCACTCATAAGGCTTTTCTCCAGTGTGAACTCTCTTGTGTTTAAGTAGGTGATCTTTTCGTCTAAAAAACTTCCCACACTCACTACACTCATAAGGCCTTTCACCAGTGTGACCTCTGTAGTGTTCAGTGAGCTTTGAGGTTTGGCTGAAGGATTTCCCACAATCACTACACCCATAAGGCTTTTCTCCAGAGTGAACTCTCTGATGTTGAATGAAGACAGATCTGTAACTAAAGCAATTGCCACCAACACTGCATTCACATGGGTTTTCTCCAGTGTGAATTCTCTTGTGTTGAATGAATCTAGAGCTTTGGTTGAAGGACTTGCGACAATCACTACACTCATAAGGCCTCCGTTGAGTGTGAAGTCTCCTTTGTCCAATGAGGTTCACGTTTTGTCTAAGGACCTCTCCACATTTGCTACACGCAAAAAGCCCTTCTCCACAGTAGACACTCTGACGGTGCACAAGTTTCTGGTTGTGGCTAGCAGCTTTTTCACATTCACACCACTCATGATGGCTTTTTCCACAGTAAACAGTCTGCCCACCCTCACTGTCACTGTGTGGCTCTGCACTGTTAAAAGTGGCATGGTGCTGTAAATGGCCTGAAATGGCCGGGAGGTCCTCCTTAATCTCCCTAAGGGTGAACGTCATCCATGACACATAGCTGCACCTGGTCACAAACGAGGCTCTGCCCATATCTACTTTCCAGGGCTTCTCTCCACTGGCATCCCTCTGTTGCTGGAGAACATTTGCTCTGGAACAGAAGTCTCTCACACAGGCATCACTGAAGAATGCTTTCTGCTCAAGGTATGGTGCTTGGAAGTCAATCAGGTGCAAAATAGCTTTCAAGACTGAGATGCTCCACTCACAAAGATGGGTCTTCTGTGTTGCTGGAACTCCCTTAGAAGCCCTGACCTGTGACTCTCTTGCTATAGACACACTCTGCTCAGAAGGGGCCTCCTCATCTTCTGTTTTATGCCAACAATCTGAAAGCAGAGAAATGCTGAGGAAATGAAAGTTGACATTGGTTGGAGGGGAAAGTCCCATTACAAAGGTTTGTCAGACATAATAGATTGCATGGGATTTTCTGAAAATAAGAGACTTGGAGACAGGTTGAATAAGGGGCTGCTGACCAATACTGGGCCTTTGAAGACCACAAATAGGGAAGACCTCGCCACAAAAGGGACCTAACGATGGCATGCACCACATGGAACAGAAATAGTATCGCCAACTTATTCTTCTGCTAACAGCGTTCTGCAGGGCTTGTTTGCTGGTGACATGGGCAAGTTGTACAGAAGGTTGGTTATTTTTTCCCCCTCCAGTAAAATTCAATAAATGAGTAGCTGGTGCCTGTGCACTACTTACGGATATATGTGCATCTCATAACACATGCACAGGTAAAATTTGGAGAATACTGCATAGGGAGCAGTGCAGAGGAAGAGGTGATGCTTGGAGGCCACAAGGGTGAAGATAGCAAGGAGCCAGAAGTCACAAGTTATATAAGTCAGCAAAGTATCAAGTATGGGGAAGAAAAGGTAGAAATGTGTTGTGGGCAGGGGAACTTTCACTAAAACACTACTGGACACAGGACAGAATTCTAGCATGATCAGAATACAGCCCTTATTGTCATGTCATTTCCCAGCTGCCACTCTCTGAGGTGAGGCCTCCTCTGAGACCATTTTGCCATGTCCACCCTGTGAAAAGAACAGGGCTCTCCCTGCACCTTCTATTGTACAACTACTCAGAACCTAAATGGTGTGAGATTTAATGAAAGACAAGAGAGGTGAGCAGCCAGCACTGACCCACAGCAATTTGGTATACCATAGTTTTGGGGGAAAACAATGTTACAAACAACTGAAGGTAGATCTTCCAAGTATAGTCCATTGTTCATGTAAGTAATGACCATGACCTGTCAGTAACAAAGAACTGTTAGCGAGAGGAAGGGGATAGAACTGGAAGCTACAGATCTGGACATAGTTACCCTGCAAGGCAGAGGGTGAAGAGAAGGTATGCATTACGCTATCTGCAGTAATTCTGACTTCTAGACACTTCTCTGCACTTTTTGAGGCAACAGGTGTAAGGGATGCCCAGAGTGTCCACAGCACAGGGCACTCCAAACAGCTCAGCACTGGCAGCCCCAGCACATATGACAAGAAAGAGGGAGAAATTAGCAGGGCCTATGGTCTGGCTGTGGGAGAGAAAGCTACCTCTGGAGAAAAAAGGGAAGGAAGGACATCACCTCAGAACACTAGGAGAGAAGTGAAGGTCTTACCCACAGATGCTACAAGTACAAACACTTCCAGCATCACATCGTAGTACAGACGTCTTTGAGCCTCATCAAGGAGCCCCAACTCCTCCTGGGAGAAGGCAATGACCACGTCCTCAAAGTTCATATCCTGTCATAATGGGGACAGTTCAATCCATGATCAGCTTTGATCTTAGGATTTTATGTTCGTCATACCCACTACATTCCACATACATCTACCCCTCTACTGCCCACATCAGAGAAGATACCAGACCTTGATACCAGTCACTCTCTCCTTATATTCCCATTCATAGTGTGTCTTCCCACAACAGACATATGGCAGATAGATGATACCTTTGCTCTAGGCATGGCATGTAGGCCACACTGCCTCTTGTTAACACAGTGGGTGTCACAAACATAGAGTAGGGAGAGAATCTGGCCATAGTGAGTGTATGAGTGAGTAGACACTCGTCTTGCCAGGCAGTACTCCTGTGGTCCCACACATTGTCCCTCCAAAACACAAAAACCATGGCATCACCCTTCACCCTTATGATCCCAAACCCAGGGTGCTGATGCCATCAGTTTACACACCCTCTGCACTTAATTCTTTAAATCATACCTCTCACACAGCTACATTCCCAGAAGAGCTTTGAAGTTAACACAAACATGCCATGATGAGGACAATTTGTTCCATGATCAGCATTTTCCCCAGGATTCTAATTTCAGCACTGCCTTAATCGATCACCTGCTCCCCCTTCTCCCTTCGCCATGCCAATGAAGATTTTCAAGTCCATGGGTCACTGAAGTTCACTATTGCATCAAGATCCTAACGATCAGTATATCAGCCTTCAACAAAAATAGGCAGGTGGGCACATAAATGGTATCGAAGCTCTGGACCTGGGATGTAGGACCACAACACCACCTCTTTTCAGGGAAGTCCCCTAGGGTTCCACAAATTGTTACCTCCAGTTACCACCAGACATGGGATCACCCTTCATTCACTCTTATGTCAAAGCCATGGCCCTGCGGCCATGAATTCATACTCCCTCTGCNTGGCCCTGTGGCCATGAATTCACACTCCCTCTGCAAGTTCACATCACTCTTCCTACCACATCTCTCTCACGACTGAACTTACGCAGCCCAGGCCTCCTCCTGCCCTGCAACATAGTCATCTCCTGGCCTCTCTACTCATTACTCAGCATATGTGGTTGAGAGAATGCTTGGCAATTTCAAAAAGGATCAATTACAACCCAGACTCTGATGGTCCACACTCACAGAGGCAACCTTGAGTCCTGCCATGAAGGCCTCCCTCCCTGACTGTTCCTTGTTTCAACCTCACCTACAGAGGACCACATCAGATCTCAGATATCCACAGCCCTCCTCCACTGGTGCTGCACTTGATGTCCCTTCACCCATCACAGCCTTCCTCTGTCCACCTCAACCTCACTCAAGGCCTAATTCAAGAGGCCCTCTACCCCATGTCCACTGAGTCTCCCAGATGACCGCTTATGCTACTAAGCTACTCTGTCAGACTAACTTCAAGACCCCAGGCTACACCAAGGGTGACAACAAATTCCTAGTGAGTGTTTAGAGCAATGAATATGAACCAGCCCCAGTCTCATCTTGTGTGAATTACTCTTCAGCCTCCCATCCATCTCATGTCCACTCATCCCTAGAAGACCTTGGCCACTTGCCAAACCATAGTCCCTCCCCCACCCTCTACATGACCATTTCTATCTCTAACCTGTGTTGTAACACCCACTAACCACAACCAGGGGTCCCAAAAGGAAACCCAGTCATCAGGACCACCATACACTTCCTGAACTACTACAACCATTCTTACTGACATGATTTCCCATATTTAAGTGATGTATAGCTCCTCCCTGGTCCATACACTCTTACGCTATTTTTTGGAGAAGTCTCCATCCTGAACTCCTCCTCAAAGTTCCAGAAGCCATGAACTGCTCTCTGAAACATCTCATACCCTTAACAGGCCAAAAATAAAACTCCCAATATCCTCAATGAAAATTACTCTTACTACTATGGATTTCCCCATCTCAGTGGATGGTACTTCCATTCCTCCAGCCGCTAAAACCAAATTTTCATGTCATCCCTGACTCCTAGCTCTTTCTCTCTCAACCTCCAAATTAGAAAATCCAGGTGGTGCCCATGCCGGGTTGCTTCCTTCCTCTTTCTCTNCAGTTGGTAGGAGATTTATCTTGATATGCCAAGGTTGGGGAGTTGATGCCCTGTGCAGGCACATACAAAAATGAACCAGTCACCCGGCCAGGCGTGGCTCAGTGGTTAAGCATTGACCTAGGATCCAGGCGATCAGGGTTNTGCAGGCACATACAAAAATGAACCAGTCACCCGGCCGGGCGTGGCTCAGTGGTTAAGCATTGACCTAGGATCCAGGCGATCAGGGTTCGATTCCCGGTCAGGGCACATGCCCGGGTTGCAGGCTGTAGCCTGTCAATGACTCATCATTGATGTTTCTATCTCTGTCTTTCCCTCTCCTCTCCTCTCCTCTCTCTGAAATCAATAAAGATATATTTTTTTAAAAANCCTGTCAATGACTCATCATTGATGTTTCTATCTCTCTCTTTCCTTCTCCTCTCCTCTCTCTGAAATCAATAAAGATATATTTTTTTAAAAATGAAGCAGTGAATGCATAAATAAGAACAACTAATCAATGTCTGTCTATCTTCCTTCCTCTTTCTCTAAAATTAATAAACAACATTTTAAAACAACAACAACAAAATCCAGGTGGCCACACCTAAAATACCAACCCAAAATCCAGCTGCTTCTCCCACTTCCAAAGCCACCATCATGGGCCCTTCACCATCACACTCACCCAGGCTATGGCAGTAGCTTCCCCCCAGGTCTTTCCACCACATCAATCACACCCACACTGTACTGGACTCTGCAGCCACAGGGAATCTAATGAGACCTGGGTCACAACACCAGCCTCCACTGCTCCCATAACCTGCAGAACAGACACCAGCTTGTCACGAAGCTGCTCTAGACCTGACCGCTGTCCCACTGTTCCCAGTTCCCATAAGGAAGGAAGGACACCTGCAGGTCCCTGCACCGGCTCAGCCTCCCCTCCAAGCTTCTGCACATTTTGGCCCCTATCCCTGGAGGCCCTCCCACATCTCATTCCACTGGCTGCCAAAAACAGGGGCCACTTCCTATAACCCTGGACCTGGACTCTGGACCTGGGCTTGTGTCTGCTCAAGGTCCCTACGCCCAGGGGTTGGGCGAGTCCCACGGCACAGACCACAGGGGTGTCCGAAAGGCCCTGAAACG